ATATATTTATGTGTGTGTATATATATATATAATATATTATGTGTGTATACACATAAAGCCATAAGGAAGCAGAGCTGATCTGAAGATTTACTGCAAATCCAAGAGCTGTTCCCTCCAAACCTCCACACGTGCCCTGCTCGGAGCAAGACCTTTTCCAGTACAACCTCATCTTTGCAGGCAAACGAGGCAATTGAAGCCCTCCTGGTTTCGTACCTCACTCCCAAAAACTTGGGCTGTTCTCCAGGGGCTGAGGTCTCGGTCTCCATCTTCAAGCTGTCGATGTGGGCGATGGAGATGACGGTAGCCGCGACGTACCAGGGCAGGCCCATGAAGGAGCAGATGATCATCAGGATGGCCACCCAAAACAAGTCCAGGTGGTAGCCAGCACCTTTCTGTGCAGGGAGAACAGAAAACCTGTGTTTAATTACCCCAAATACCCACGGGATCGGGAAAAGAGCAGGAGGTGTTTCCTTCTGCGGCATCTTTTAGCCAACAGAAATAGTAGAGGGACTTGACACAGCACAGCATGAGTTAAATACGATTCATCAAAAAATAGCTGGTGAGATACACATCCTATCTTGTAAACACTATCACCAAGCTCTCAATATCTATCTCTGCCTTTACATAATTATACACAGTCACCTACACACACATATACCTTGGTTATAATGGGTTTTCTGAAGAAGCTCTGCAGATGCCTCTTAAAAAGCCCAAACCGAAGGGCTGTGAAGGGCTATTTCAGTCCTTACACGTTCCCATGTTCTTAATGCGATGACATGGTGACAAGAAACCCAATCTCCAGCACCATCCCAGCCCCTGGTGTGTGCACACGCTGTGGCGCATGTTGACAGCACCGCAGGGTGACAAGAGCAGGAGGGACCAGCGTCCCCAAAGCCTTAAACACCCTTTAATAGACCCAGCAACGCCTAATTTTAGTTAGGTCAGCTGCTGTGGAATAGCTCTGAGCATAAGGACGTAAGGAAGCCGTACCTGCAGCAGCCCTGCAGGGACACCGGGTGCCCGAAGGTAACGTTTGCCATTTGCAGTGCTGGAGCACGACCTGACCTCCTCTGTTTAGGATGGGACCCGATCTCCTATTTTTTAAATCTTTTAACTAACACAGAAATCCACCAAGTGCCAAGGGAACAAGTGAAGAAACAAGAAAGGGATCTCCAGAAAAATACCAGAGAAACCTCAGGTTCACGAACCTTTGGATTAACCTCCTTTCAACCCTCTGCAATGTGATTTTATTGGAAAGAGCAAATGATCCGGACCCGCTTGGTGACCCGGGAGGGAAAGCAACCCAACTTGTCCTGAATAAAGCTCATTGTTTCCCCAGTATTTGTACCTGGGCTGGGCCGCAGCACTGGGACAGTCACTCCACGACGCCCCAGAAATACTTTAACAAGGCACCAGCAGCAAAAGAAGTGTCCTTCTTTTGGCCTCCAGCATATTTTGGTGCAGAGCAGCAGGATCAGAGTGAAGAAGCCCCAGTTAAACAAAAGCATCTGCTCACAACCATAACAAAGGAAGCAGGAAATCATTCTTTTCTATTAAACAGGACTTTGCTGGAGTGTTTACACTTGGTTACTAAAAAAGCACACCCGGTGCTGATAGCACGGCCACCTCCGTGTCTGGAAGCTGAAGAGACGAGCGACCTCCTCTTCACGGAGGATGAACAGTGAATATATCCCTCCAGTGATTAAGAAAATCATGTCTCTGCTTCGTTAGGTGCAGGACACAGACCTAAAAGTGAGGCTTTCAATATAATCAGTGGAGCAGGTATCGAAATAACGACCCAGCATCACCCATGCTTTGAGAGAGTCCCTGCTCTGATGGGTCAGAGCACTTGAAACGTGTCCCGTTAGCAGGAAGGGAGTCTTCTTTTACAGGAATTTAATATTTTGTCAATAGAACCGAGCACGCAGGGAAAGGAAAAACCCTACAGGCACGAAAACCCGCATAGCGCCAGTCTGGAAAGTTTATTTTAAAAACATTACTGCATCCCAGGCTGCTCTATGGCAGCGGATATAAAGTTCTTCTTGAAATAACAGCCAATTGTGGCTATGCCCTTGGTATGTCCCACGTCTCTTCAGCTTATTGCTTGCATTTGACAGCTCTGTAAAGCCACACTGGGAAAAGACTGGAAAAGACCTTTGAGATCATCGAGCCCAACCACACCATGGTCCAATCTGGGCCATCTCTGGCCATACCCCCTTTCCACGATAAACACGGGGACAGCGGTTTGTCACATCTTTGCCCCTTGTGATGAGGTGAGAGAGATTTTTGGCTTGGATGCAATAATGTGTTGTGGACCCAAAATCGGGTCATGGCTTGGGTTAACGCAGAGCTCCTGAGGAAGGAGGCCCCTCCAAGCACATGGCTTCTCCCTGCCGCAAGCCTCAGCTCCCAGAAACTCGCTGCAGATCAAGTCCTTTCCTCCACAATTAACCCTCACCCTCTTCCTACCTGACGTGGTGACAGAAGAGGATGCATAAAAGCATCATTAGTTAACCATAAAATCAGGCAAATGAGATGTGAAGAGCCATTTGATGCTGGAGGAGAGGTTTGAGTGGGCTGGACTTGAGTTTGGGACTAATTCTTGAGAGAGCTACAGCGCCCGAGCCTGTGAAGTCAATGGACGTTTGGATGCACCAGCCCTACCCAAAACCTGCACTACCAAACCCCTCCAGTTTTTCACAGCAGCTGCAAAGCAGCCACCAGAGCCTTCTGCTGGCCCCAGTCATCTTCCCAAATGCTGCGCTGGAAGAAATGCCAGGAAGAACATCTCAAGGCAAGCATCCTCACTGGAAGACATCCTACCCTTCCTAGGTGTTCCTCACCACCATGTGAAAGGAAAGGACAGTTCCTACTACAAAGTATATATATTTTAATACATCAACTCTACAGTACGTATCACCGTATTTGCTGGCATTGACTCCATGCAAGCAAACACTGGGAATGACAGACATCAACTTTTCTCCCCCGTTTCTGACTGCATTTACCTTAATGATTTCCCATCTCCTACAGAAATGGCCAAGCACACAACTCTATGTCTGTGGCAGATGCACGCCCCCTTTGCTTTTCTAACTCTTCAAACAGCAGAGTCTTGCAGAATTATCAAGGCAAATGACACCTCTGGGGTGGCAGACTCTGCAATGAACTCCATCCAGCTCTCTGCTAAGGCAGACCAGGCACTTGGAGAGCCAAGTTCTTGCAAGGAAAGATCAAAATACTGTAAAAAACTGAAGAAACTTTTGGGTTTACGTTGACAGGAAAAGGGTTTTAACAGAAGTTCTGCCTGTCAAATGCTCTAATTTCTTCCAGCTCCACATGAGCAGTGGGCAGGATGTGATGGGTCCAAGTCCTTTTCCCACCTAGAAAGGAACGGGGAGCTGCCTGGGTTGTGAAATCCAGCTATTTCTGGCATGGGACCTGTTTGCCAAGGAAAGGGAGGAGTGGTCCCAAAGCCTCTCCATGTGGGAACGCTTCAGGCCGCACGACGGTGAAGCCAATCCAAATTAATCAGTGCTCATGGAACAAGACTCTGGGAGCTGGCCCTGCACAGGGTTTGTGCTCCAGGAGAAAGGCAGATAATGAACCGGGGGGTTGTGTGTCCAAAACTCTACCCTTGTCACCAGCACCCTGCCCTCCTCCATCTCCAGCACAGAGAAGGCGGCGGGCAGCTCCTCGCGCACCCACCTTGAGCTTGTGCTCCTTCCTGTTGACGATGACGGCGGTGATTTGCTGGTCCATGAAGATGAGGATGGTCACCAGCAGGGCAGGGATGGCTGCTGCCAGGTACACCCACCACGGGTTGCCTCCAAAAGGGGGGATGAACCAACCCCTATCGGGACTGGTTGGCTTTTAAAGGCAAGGGAAGGAAAGCTCGCATTAGAGCCGCAACACAGGAGCGAGGACATCCCAAATATATTATACACAGAAAAAGGAACCTAACTTAAAGACCACGAAAGCAGCTGACAACCCCAGACATACCTTGAATTCGCTTGGCACGATGAGTTTTGGTGTGTCCACACCTACCAGGGCATCTATTCCACAGAAAATCAAAATGGACAAGATAATGGCAAAGTCACTGATGAGCTTGCGGGCCTGAAACAGAAGTCGATACCATGACAGTAGTTAGCACTACAAAACGCCATTTCACAGCTCCTGTGTGATACTCCTGCCTCGTGTTTGGGGCAATACAAGCAAATAATGTCTTATTTTGCAGAAACAGAGGTGGGCATTGCCATGTCCAACGCCGCTGTCCTCAATCCACCTTGGTACTTTACTGCGCTGTCTGAAAGCCAAGCAATTCAGCCCAAATGGAAGTACGAAAACATGGCTATGGAAAAAGCAAACTGCTTTTGTAAGAGCCTCCCATAGGAGCTCTTCAAGGCAGTCTCACATTGACAGCAGCCAACAGCCACTGCTGTGGACACCAAGTTCCTCTGCAGCAGTGTCTGAAGAGGCTTCTCAGGATCTGCTTCCAGTATTAACAGATAGTGAGCATTTGCAAATGAACCTACAAAAACAGTGCCTTTTTTAGACATATGAAATACTGTCTCCTCCTGTTTGCCTCCTGAGCTCTGTTTCTTCAGACCCCACGTATTCATGTTTTTCTATGCACGGCCAGAAGCTGCTTTTTTTGACACCAGCTGAGCTTCTCGAGTTCCCTGGATCTTCCTTCCAGCCCTTCTTGTGGATGGGCATCACATTTGCTACCCTCCAGTCCTGGGACCTCCCCGGTTAGCCAGGACTGCTGGTAACTGATGGGAAGTGGCTTGGTGAGCCCTTCCTCCTGCTCCCTCCGCACCCTGAGGTGGACCCCATCCATCTAAGAGGTCTAGCAGGTCCCTGACCACCTCGCTTTGGGTGATGGGGCTTCGTTCTGCTCCCCATCCCTGTCTCCCAGCTCAGGGGGTTGGGTAGACCCAAATTTCCAGTAGAGATGAGCTGGTCTGTGTGAGCAGCAGAGATGACACTGGGTTTTGTTCAGGTAATACATCAAAAACAGACAGGAAAACCCATCAGGCTTCCTGGTTAACTCCTCAACATGCGCTGAGGAGCGCAGCTCTACCTAAGCCACTGGAACATGACAGCCTGGTCAGGCCCCGAAACTGAACTGGGGGGACCCGCTGTGCTGGTCTGTAACTGCAGGACCTTTCGGAGCTGCCGTTCCTTCCAGGTTTCCTGGGTTTGCACGGTTACAGATAAATGGAGCTGCATTCCAGCCCCGGTGGAATTTGTTTCCTTTTTATTAAAAATAACAGGGGTTCAGCTGTAACACAGCAGAGCAGTAAACATCCATGCAGGATAAATCCCAGTGTGTCAGAATGCCAAAAACAGGGCTGGGGGGGCAGCTCTTGGGGCAAAACAGGACTCAGTTACACAAGGATAGCACCAGCTCGCACACGTGGGTAAAAGAGAGGGTTTTCAACATTCAAATCAAAATTTTATGTGTTACAAAATGTGTGTCCCTGTTCTGGTCTATATGGACAGCTCGCTTACCTGCTTTTACTCAGTGACAAAGCAAAGGGCTCCTTTTCTCCCTCCAAAATACTCCCTCTGGGGACACTTCTGACATAATGATCAATATAATCACCTTCTAATGTAATTTTATTTCTGTAAAATCACCACACATCCTACCCTGGAGTCAGTGCATCACGTGGAGCTGTGTACCACACCAAAACCTGCCAGTTTAAATCATCTGCGTGTCTGAAAGACGTACTCACAGTGGTTGGGAAATAGCGACTGGTCTTGAATTTCTTCAGCGCCATGGAGCAGGTGTAGGTGCCGAAAAAGAGGATGAAGGACATGAGGGTGATGTCCGGGACGTAGCCGCAGTTGTTGCCCACCAGTCGCCCCCCGTATTTCAAGCACTCCTTCGTGGTCAGAGATGACCACTCAATGCCGCTGGTGTTCTGCCAAAAAAGAGAGGAAGTTTCCATGAGGCCCTGCTCAGGTCAGCACAGGAGCTCCAGCTTCCCCCTCTGCTGCTCCAGCCCCAAAACCCCCCGGGCATGGCACACCTCAAGGGTCTGGCCCTTGTGAAATAGGGATTTGAATTCCTGTTAATTGCTTCTGTCCTGATTAAACACTTCGCTACCATCAGTGACCGACTGCAGTGGTCAGACAGGGATTTATTTGGATTTAAAGTCTCTGTGTGCAATGCAGAGAGCAGCGAGTCCCTTCCTGGGAGACTGGGGGTGCAGAGGGTGCACATAAACACCCAGAGACGTTTAAAGTCATTTTGGGTACCTACAATCTTCTCCATCCCGAGGAGATCTCCAATCCCATGGGCTCTGCTCCAACTCCAACCTCTCTGCATGAAAACTCCGTCAGAAGGAAGGAATATTTTCAAGTACTCAAAAGGGATAAAGCCATAGAGAGGAAAGAGCGTTTTACTCCAAAGATTGAAGTTATAGAGAGCTTAGCACAAACGTGGGCACAGGCTGATCCAGCCCAACAACCAATTTACCTGAAAAATATCTTCTTTAGGTAAAAGCAGAAACACACTTTTGTTTGTAAGTGACTTTTTCCACTAGGAAAAAACCCAGACTTGTATTAAAAATGTTGGAATTATTTAAGGTACTCCCAGAAAGCAAAAGGTTCACGGCCTCATGTTGCACCTATCAGCAGCTTGTGCACATTGAATAATACACCCCACGTGCCTCCAGGCACTGGGTGCTGATGGAGCCGTGGTCTGCAGCCACATATGATAAACTGCAGCTTCCTCAGCCCAGGCTGTGAATCCCAAAAGGGCCAAGATTTTGCTGACAGGCATGGTAACGGGGGAAAAAAACCCAAAAGGAGAAGCAGTTGTGTTGCTGTTTGAGGAGGTGCTGCCATGTTTGGTGTCTCAGCACCATCTCTGTTAAAAACCAGGCATGGAGACACAGCCAGGTCTGACAGGGCAGGGAAGGAGACAGGGAGCAGAGACCATGCCCTCTTCTCCACACAGGAGTGGCCACCAGGTTAAAAGACACACAGAGAGGTAGGACCTGTGTTCTCCAGGAGAAAGCCGTTATTCTGTGTCCCAACTCACTGTCCCTGCACGAAACACAAGCATCTCTGACCCCTATTTCTAAATCTCCTCATCCAAAACTCAGCACTGAGGTGAAATGTGGCAAAGCCAGCGTTGGCTACAGAGGATTGAGAGGATGGAAATGGGGCCTTCCAAAGGCAGGGCTGGCCACAGCACCCAAACCACCATGGTCCTGGGCACGAGGATCCAAGTAACGCCCCAGGAGGGCCACTCGTATCCTGCCCACACAGCTCAGGCTGCGAGGAACAGCCTCTACCAGCACCTAATTCAGGTTCCCAAGTTGAGCACACAGAGATCCACACGCAGAAACCTCCAAAGGACCAAGTGAGGACGCCAAGAGGAGCAGCGTCACATTTTCCCCGTGTCAGGGGCAACGGGGATGGTTCAGCGCGAGGATTTTCCTCAAGCGATCAACTACTGATCCATTGGCACAGCGTGGCAGAAATACACCACACGTGGGAATTCAGAGACCTTAAAATCCATAACAGCAGCCCTTTGCAAGGGCACTTACCATCTCCGGAGAGGAGTAGAACAGCTCGTCGGCCGCCGGCACCGTTGTCCCGTTAAATAACGAGCTGTTCACTGCGAGAGAGGACGGGAAAGGGAGTCAGGTGAGCAAGGCGGAAAGAAAATCGCAAATATTAAATCAGTTGTTACTCTAGCTTTGAAAAAAACAACCAGACATCAAACTGTTCGCAGTCTCTTTGCTCAACTGAAGTGAGACTGAAGTGGTGTTTCGGACTGGCTCAGAAGCATCGATCATAAATCACTGCAAAAGGGCGTGGAAAAAAGGGTAAGTGAAACATAATTCCAGTCCAACTGGGATTTTCTTGGAGCTTATTGTAAAAAACCTAAATAAAAAGATAGACAATACAGTACTTCATGAGTTTGCAATGTTTTCCTGAAGGTTTCTGAATTAAAATAAATATCCACAAAACCCTCATAATTATTAATCTGAAGTTAAGGCACGTACCTAAAGATATCCACAAAACCAAAATGCATCTCATTACCCAGCATTATCACACTTTTTGAGTTAAAAATGATAAAGAGTAACTGAAATCAGCAGGATGGGGATAACTTCTTTGACGAAAGGGGCAGTGTTCACTCTGACCATGATTTCCTTTCCATTTCCTTACACGTTTTCCTCTTTGTTTTCATGGCATTAGAAATAATTTGTTAAATTTCACTTAGAAACGCAGTCTTTCCTGAAAACAGGCTTGGCAGCTACGTTTCACTGAGGTTTTGTGGGGATTTTTATGTCCTGCAGGAGTGTTTAAGCTGCATTAAAACACTGCACAGGTTTGAACTTCCTGACCCAAAGCGGTGCGTGTTTGCTCAGACACGGGTGCAAACCAAAGGGAAGTCCCTTTGATAAGCAATAATTAATTATTACCAAACCGCACACAACTCTCATTGACGGTTTCAAAGGCGTTGAGCTCCTGTGGGATGTCCTCCTCCGTGCCCTGAGGAAAGGCCAGGAGCCTCCAGAGAGCACAGGCACCTGCAATGGCTGCGAAACCACCGCCCACCCCAAAACCAACCAGGCCTCGTCCTGCTCGACAGGTACAACCAGGTAACCTCAAGTTTACTTTGAGCTCAAACCAAGTTTCTTACTCAGCCCTCACTGTTCGAAGGCTCCTAGGAGTGGTCACGGCTTCCCTAATGGTACCAACTCAGTGTCCTTGTCCTTGTGGCCGGGGTTTGTCACCTCTTGTTCCCGGTCCCGTTGCCAGGTCTGTGTGTGCTGGCTCTGTGCCCTAAACCAGTTCAATTGCTTGTGCTTTTCCACTCACACACGCAAGCGGGAGGTGCAAAACCACCCACGTTTGGGGAACGCCCTGAACAAATCCGGCTCCTGGTCTTGACAAAACGGCACCATTGATACCGGGAGTGACGTAAACACCACAGCAGTGACCGAATCACTGCTCTGCCCCTTCATGGGCTCCCCACAGCAACGTCAGCCAGGATTAGTGGCCACAGGGATGTGAGGAGGCAAGGGTGCACTGGGCTTCTGCACTGGGAATGATGCTTCCAACGAGGAGTCACAGAATCAGAATCCCAGAATATGAGGAGTTGGAAGGGACCTGGAAAGCTCCCCCAGTGCAACCCCTGCCACAGCAGGATCACCAGAGCAGTCACACAGGAACACGGCCAGGGCTTTGGGGGTCTCCACACAAGGACACTCCACAACCTCTCTGGGCAGCCTGGGTCATGCTCCAGAACCCTCACACTCACAAACTTTGGCCTCATCTTCAGCTTGAACCTCCTGTGCTCCAGCTTGGGACCATTGCCCCTTGTCCTGGCATTGGACATCCCAGAGCAGAGCCTGGCTCCTTCCTCCTGACACTGCCCTTTCCAAACTGATCCCCAGGAATGAGGGCACCCCTCAGTCTCCTCTGCTCCAAGCTCAAGAGCCCCAGCTCCCTCAGCCGCTGCTCAGCAGAAGATGCTCCACTCTCTCCATCATCTGTGTGAGATCATCTCAAAACGATCTCAATCATTTTTGTGAGTCCCAGCAAGTCTGGCCATTCCGGGTGGCACTGGGGGTGAAATTCACCCCTCAGCTTCAAAACAAGGCTGAGAGAGGAGATCTGAAGAAAACTGACTGAGGATTAATCTGCCCATTTATTATCTGGGCCGCAGCACCACAGAGAAGGGAAGCAAAAGCCATCTCCTGCAAACCAGAGAGCTCATCAACCATTCCCTTACCTGGGTCGAAGGGTTCACAGGCACAAGAGTAATGTGTGATATAGTCCACCTTGAACTCGGAGTTGATGGGGTAGTGGTCTGCCAGCTTGATCATCTTCTTGAAAGCGTCGTAGATGAAGATGAAGCTAATGAGGGAGGAGAAACCCTCCTCGGTGAAGCGGGTGAAGTACTTGACCAGGAAGCTGGCGTCAGTGGCGACGAGGATGAGACACTGGAAGGCTGACCAAAGGCCGATCCAGAGCCGAAACTCCAGGTAGTCAAAGTCGTTGTCTCTGCAGCAAGACAAAAAGCTCTGTTTTCAGCCACCCACCTCCGTAAATCTGGGGCAGTTCAATAGCTCAGGTGGCAGAAAAGCACGCAGAAGCCATCAGCCTCGCTTACTAATAAATGTTACCAGTGAATTCAAGCTTTTTCTAGGCTTCCCAGTAAAAATCCTCCCTGGGCAAACGTGCACAGAGCTGGAAAGGACCGAACACCCAGCTCTCCACACCTTCCAGCAGCTGAAGATGCAACCCCAGCTTACAAATCTCCTTTAGAAAATGCCATTTCCTGCCAGGCCGCACACTGGGGAGCCTGCATTTCCACGTCTCTATCTTGCACTATCTGCAGAAATCAAAGTAGCAGCAGGAGAAGATAAAGAAACGCAAAGCGGACAAAAAAATATCCTTGAAAATACCTTCCTGTACCTGTTTTCACACATTATTTCCAGGCAGACGTGGTGTGACACTGCATACCTTACTCTTTGCCAGTGTTCACCCCCAGGCAGCAAATTTAGTACCCAGCAGGAACCCTGGCCAGCAGTGGGCAAATTTCTAAGGGTTTTCACCTGGATTTTGGGGTTTTTTTTAGCCCTCAAACTCCTGCAGCACCTCCAAAGCTCGCAGAGCAAGCGAAGATGCAGAGGTTTGGGACACACAGCGCAACGGGCACACGCTGAACGAACCGGAGGATGGGAAGGGTTCCTAATTTTGCTCCCAGCAGGGAACAGGGTGTTGTGAATATGAACCACCACGATTGCGTTATTGAAAAATCACAGCGTTTCATTCCAATTTCCTTCCCAGAAAGGCTCCCTCCAAAATCCCTGCCGTTCTGCTCCAGCAGGCTGTTAATACAGTACCTTTTATAACCTCCTCGGGTTACAAATAACCACCCTCTCCTTCCCAAAATCCAAAAAGTGGGTTTTCCACCTAAGCTCTGGCCTCCCAAGCAGCTGCCCTGTCCCTCAGAATCCTCCTGGACCACGCAGGGTACTCACAGGAAAGACCTGATCGCATTGCCCTCAATTATTGCTGAGCAGCTGCCCCCAGAGATCCAACGTAATGAGGAAGGAGATACAATTAAACCACCAAGCATCCACCACGTCTCCTGCCTCGCTGCAACCCGCAGCCGTGTTCGGCTTAATAATTCAATAGACTTCTGCTAAAAATACCCACCGTTGTATTTGCGAGCACTGCAGATACGGGGGGAGCAAACAACTAATAAATGGGGTGATTTTTAGCTCTGGGTTTCAGCTGTCATCGCTGCATCAATGGGAACACGGTGGGGAGGGGGCACCACTCACTACACCAGTTAAAAGAGGGGAAAAAAGCCCATTTAACGCAGCAAAGAGCCGTCAAAGAATTTGGAGGACAAACAGAGATCGATAGGTCCTTCTGCTTTTATGAGTAACGGGGATTATTTTGATGAGCACTGACCTAGGGACAAAGTTTTGGTAACCTTGAGACCCGCAGGATTTTGTTAGGGAAGTCTCCCAGAGCTGGATCCTTTTCTTTTCACCTATGGGAAGCACCCAGCAATGGGGAAACGCAGGCACAGCTCCCTGCAAGCAGTGCCAAGCTCTCATGGAGGACAGGCTTGACCCAAAATCTGCAGGAGGCCCCAAGCAGAGATGCACCCAGAGCGGGCAGCGCCTCGGGCCGTGCGTGCCTGCGAAGATCCCGCTGCGATCCCGACAGGAGCGAGGGGATGTTTCATTTCGTGCCCTAAATCCCCGCTTCCCCAGCGCGGATGTTGTTTGTGCGAGGCATTCCTCCCTCCTCCCCCTTCCACTTACTTGCTGAAATTAAAGAGGAGCCGTTCAAAGACAAGGACGGGTCCTGTGCTGCTCAGAATCGTAAGCGGCTGACCAGCAAAAAGGCAAAATATGGCCCCGGTGACCGCCGTGCCCAGGAAGCTCTCCAACACGCCCTGCGGTAGACACGGGAGAGGTGTTAGTGCTGCCAAGTAACCCTTCCTATTTGCTCCTCTGCAGGAAAATGAGGGGTTTTCCTTCTCCAAGTGAGCAGCAACTCTTCCTAGATGAACAAGACATCTCCGTTTCAGCTGTTTGAGGAAGTGAGACACGAACCAAACAAGGAGACTTCATCCAGCGGAGATCCAAGTTCATCAGATGACACCAGCAAGTCATTAATTCCATGTTTAATGGGCTCTGCAATTACCTTGGGCACGTGTGGCAAAACAGCTTCACTGGTGAATGACACAAGTCCATGCTTGGTGGATTCTTGGGTTTTCACGTAAACTGCAGCCGGGCAGTATCAACATGAAGATGCCAAACATGGACATACTGCAAGTGGCATTTTTCTTGCCAGTAAAATGTGATTACTGACTGAGTATGCATCCTTCTACAAAAATGGCAGAATTAGGTGGACCTCACCTCGTTTGCTCTCACGTAAACTAATTAGCCCGTACTTGATTGAGTTTTAAAGGAACAAGAGCATCATCTCCTTCTGAAGAAGAGGTGCAGCCGCCAGCTTGGCCCTCTCCAGGAGCCCTCACCCTCAGCCAGGGCAGACTCAAGCCCAGGCTCATGTGCTTCGTTAAGGCTGCATCTTAACAAGCAGCCTTGTTAGCGCCGCATGTGCTGAGCAACCAGCAGTGGTGGCACACGCGGATCCTTCTTGCCAGCCACGACAAACCGCTGCAGCTCTTCTGACTTACCCATGGTAACGGGAAGAATTTAAGTTCAGTTTTGTGGCTTGCTTCCTTGGAAAGCCCCAGGTTCATAGTGTTATGTGGCAAACGAGTCTGTTACTGCTCAGAGCAGAATACATTTTAGTTAATCTACCCAATTCCTAGCAGAACTTTCTCTCCAGCAATCATTAACTATTATTTCTCTGGCCTCAAACACGATGCCAAAATACCAGTGGCGGGTGGTGCTTAGCGCCTGACCCAGTGGCAGTCACATCATTGCTTACAAGAAGCATAAACTGTGATGTGGTAGCCCCCAAAATACTTATTTTTAATGTCAGGATATAATGTGCGGGCAGAAAACTTTTCGGTGCTGCAGAAGCTGGCGTAACCCAGAAGTTAAGGAGGCTCCGTGACCACCTTCTGGTGGAGATGGGCTGTGACAAACACCCACTGTGGGTCCTGCAGGCCCTTGCTATCATTTCTCTTTAAGGCTGTGCCTCATGCATCCATTTGCAGCTGCAGAGCTGAGTTTTGGAAGAGTTTAAACCGTATTTATTCAGAAGAGAGGCAAGTTGGGCACTCCACCTACTTACTGCATCTTACCCTAGCCTGTAATTTCTGACAGGGAAGTGCAGGGCTCTGGATAGGGGACCCCCTTTTCTATGTTTGCTTTAATTAAACATGTATGAATGAATAATGCAGATGCTGTCACTGCGAGCTTAATTATTGCTGGGAGATTCAATGTGGCTGCACTGGATCTATGTAAATAAAACCTCCTAGGTTTAATTCCCCGTCAAAAAGCCAAAGGAATACTAAACACGAACAACTTTCAGCAGTGTTAATACAGAATCCCTTCCTTTTAGACTTCACCTAAAACTGAGCCTAGAAGCCCCTACTTTGATGTCTCCCACTGATCCAGTCTGTCTCTGGACACACAATGTGGTTCCCAGGGTCTGGTCTCCCCCGTGACAAAACCCCTCTTTCTAAAGAACTTGTGTTTCTCTCCTTTTCCTCCGATTCCCGTGCTTCCCTGAGCAGCTCAGGATTTGTTGTTCACCAGACAGGCAGAAGTCCAGTGACTGCAAGAGTCACGCAGAGGATACAGGGCTAAGCTCTGACGAGATGGAAAGTCTGAATCACACTTGGTAAACCTAATTGGACTGAAACGGTGCAAGCAGGACACAAGCAGAGCAGACCAGAACTTCGCTATATGTAAGGAGCAAGGGCCTTCTCTGTTGCTTGGCCATCTTTCAAACACCATTTAAGGCAACTGCTTGTACAATATTTCCATGTCAGCAAGCTTATTTGACTCATTTGTTAGGCTTATGACTTATCAGAAAGCAGTGGCTAACCTGCATGTTTTCGGTAGCGTCGCCAAGCAGCCCCCCAAAAGTGATGGCGTTGGTCACCGTGGCCAGGTAGATGAACAGAATGGCTGAAAGGGCTTGGATATTTAAAGCATCGTAGAAGTCGCTCGCAAAGAACGGTGCTTTCCTCTTTATGTCTTTGATTAAGCCACCGCAGAACCTGGAAAGACAAGCAAGATGTTTTTACAGCCAAAGTCGCCACGATAAGTGATGGGAAACGCTGCCAGAAACGCAGCATTATCTGCAAAGAGTGAGATCATCACATTACATAAAGGTCTTACTGCAGCTGTGATGGTCCAGGGATATCACTGAGATAATGCTGGAAAGAAAGATAATATCTTGAACATGCGATGCAGCTGGGAAGGGACAGATTTCAGGAACACCAGCCCTGATGCTGCTGGAACAGACCACAAAAGTTGGCAGTTCAGGAAGCCTGGCTTTTTTTTCCCCCCTCAACTGTAATGGTTGATGTAATAAAATATATTAACTCTCCTCTAAATCCCTGCCTGGATTTCTCCCCATGGCAGACACAACGGCTGAGTGAGCCAAAGAATCTGCTAAACGGAAAAACTCTTCGAGCTGTTACAAGCAGAAGAAGAACTGGAAGTCAAAACACAAGTGAAATCAGCTTGGAAAACGAGAGAGCTTGTACGATCGCAGACAAGACAGCGTTTAACCCTTTTGAGCTCCCACAACAGGTTTGTGACAGCCTCCAGCTGCCACCCCACTGACCTGCCGGTGCGCTGCAGCTCCTCGCAGTCCCCGTGGCCGCCGCCGCCGTGCCCTCCGTCGTGAGGGGTGTCTCCATTCATCTGCAGGTTCTCCCCACCGGAGTACATGTTTTTCCTGGGCAAGAAGACAACACAGACTCTGGCTCACTGAACAACAACTGGCTCCACACAACAAAACCCACAGAGAGTTCTTCCAAACCAGCGTTACGAAGCCTTTCCTAAAGCCGTGCTGTACAAGGCTGGCCTGTCAGCAGCCAGATTGCAATGTAGTGTGTTAGAAGGACCTCGAAGAGTGTAGATAACCATTATTTGTCGTATCATGTGCCTACACGATCACCTTAAAGGGCACAGAGGTGCACGAACACCCTCCCTCCAGCTGCTAAGACCTGAAAATACCTCTAGCGCTTCCTCAACAGAGAACCTCCCGCCGTTACCTCTTGTCTGAAGAGGGCAGGGACTTGGGGGGCTCTATCCTGATGGCTGGATCCCATTCCCCGGGGGGCAGCACGATGACCTCATCCAGGAACTCATCGATGCCGGCGATCAGGTCCTGCCGGTCCTTGGCTTTATAGGCAATGTCGTGAAACACCTGCGAGGAACAGGCCCCTTGTGGAGAACAGGTCTGTGCTTTCTGCAGCCCAGCCTCCTTTTTCTTCTGCAAACCCAACTAATTCATTCTCAAAACACCTCTCCAAGAATCATCAGGACACTTTCAATTGTACTTTTTACAATTATACTTTTACAAAGCCACCATGAAGTGTCAATCCTCTTTTCCTACCTACTTAGTCTATCCAAAACTGTGACTATTCAACCCTGTGACACAGAAATGACCACAATACTTACTTTAAAATAATAACAAGAGGCACAAACCAGGTTTACTGAAAGGCCTGGGATTAGGGGGATGAAGAGCAAATGAGAGAAAGGAGGAAAAAGAGCAATAATGCTGAATTTTACAGAAATTTTTGGGACTCTACTCCTGCTGTACGGGAGCAAAACAACATAAGGAGAAAGCAGGAAACAACCAGAGCGTAAATCAGCCCCAGACACAGAGCCCAGGGGAGGCTGGAAGATAGGAGCCATAAATGAATATGGAAAGGACAGTCATCATCTCACCGAGGTGTGTGATCAGTGAGTAATTAATTGCTCATGGATTATGGATAGCACTGCCTGAAGGCAGAACTGCTCTGGGGTACAGCACAACGCACGACAACGTGTGCTGGGTGCAACCATTTCCGTGGTCGTTACCTGGAGTGTAGTGGGTTACTGTGATGGTGGAATGGGACAGGAGACACAGCGCAACCTTTAATTCAAAGTCTATTGGAAAGAGAGATTGCCAGCAGGAAAACACAGACGATGGACAAAGACTTCCTACAGTCACGCTCTTACAGAAACATGAGGGCAGATGAAATAATTACGTACACAGATGGAATTGGGAGCTGACATCTGAATTTTTCATATTTACGTGCATCCCACCCACGTGCCCACTCCACGCCGGAGGACAGGGCATCAATATCAGCTAACGAAATGAAACCTGGGAGAACCCATTCCACCCAGGAGATGCCAGCAACCCTACCTCGTCCGACATCAGAGTGGCGATGGCTCGGCCGATCTCATGGTAGGACTTTGCTTTGCCCTTAGGTCCCAGCAGGATGAAGAGAAATCTGACAAAACAAACAGATTGTTGCTGTTTAGGGTAGCAAAACGGGTCACTAATTCCTCATATAATATCTAGACAGAAACTCAGCAACCCTGGTATTGTATAAACCAAGAGCAGGGACCCGCTCTGACCTGAGCATCCTCAGTGCCAAGGAGGGACCGAGCGTGGGCAGCACAGCAGGAGGCACAGGAGTTAACGAAGGAGGATGCAATTAGCTGTTCACATCGCTCCCTGTGCACTGCATCGCTCCCCCGAGTTATCACATGGATTAATGCTCTGCTGGGGCCGAGATCTCAGCACCCGGAGTAGCTACCCACATGTGAAGTGAGACCATTCATCTAAAATCAGGCTTTGGCTGTCAATAATTAAGAGCGACGTGTGTGCCCTGAATGTCTGCTCCAAGTATACAACGTAAACCAGGGACGTGTAAGCTCATCTTCATAGTCTTCAGAGCCATGGCTTCATAGTCACAGCTTAACTCCTAAGCAGGGAGCTTGATTCTTGGGGTGTAAACCTACTCCTGGGGTAGGCACCACCAGAGAGGGTGACAACACCTGCAGGGGAGTGGGAGATCATTGCCATCTCTTTGGGCAGTGACTATACCCGAGTCACTGATGCTGAGTCTGAAAAACACCGTGACATGAAATGTTTGGAGACAGCAGCTGCTCCTACCAGCCATGCCTTGCACAGCAACCTGTCCTAATGGGGTTCCTCAAAAGAAGAGGCTACACATGGAAAACAGGATGTTTCTGCCAAAAGAGTTGCCTTGGAGCTGTGCCACAGTAATGGGAATGCTGGTGAAGGGTGTCTGGGTTTCCAGCCTCTTAATTGGCATTCATCAGAAGTAGCTTTAGGTATGGCCTCAAGGTTGGATCTTCAAAGGTACCCAGACCCCCCGGCCTGGAATAAAAATTAGGATAAATAATACCATCATTCAGCAGATAATTCAGACAAGATCTACGCCTTATCTTCGACACTCCCAGTTCCTAATCCAAGGCCAAGCTGTCCATGCTGGAATGGTGAAAGCCTGTTAAGAAAGCCCTTACTTCTGTTGGCAGTCTCATCCATGGCCATGCTTCAGTGACCTCTGGGATGTCAGTGAAGAACCCTCCAAAATGAAATCCCTCTAAATATCCTATTGATCCGGTCACCCTCAGCCATCTGTCACAGTCAGGGTAAGGCATTTTGGGGCCTTCCTCTTCTCTTTGGTCACCTGGACAGCTCTTCTCTGGTGTAGCGGTGCCTTCTCCCGGTAAACCAGTTTTGGCAGTGCAAATATACGGATAAAATAATTTATTGCTGCTCAGGAGCCTCCTTTCCTGAGAAAATGAGGCGAGGGGACAGCACGTCAGGTATGGAAGCTTAGGGGAGAGCTGGGGTGGTTGGAAAGGACACACACTCACAGGAAACCAGGTTTCGTTTGCCAACCTTGACCATCTCACCTATGGATTTCTCAAAAGCTGCTGTAAAATGCGAACAGGAGCAGGGTTGAGAGGGGGGACGCCTCTCCAGGAGCCCTTCTGTCCTCTCCAGGAACCCTTCTGTCCTCTCCAGGAACCCTTCTGTCCTCACCAGGAACCCTTCTGTCCTCACAGGCTTAGTTTCCTAATCAAAGCATCACGAGACACCACATCTAACAAAGCGTATTGTATCCAAAAAGTGTTTTCTGATTAAAAAGCCTCGAGTCTCATTAAAAACACATCAAGTTAATAGGACAGGATCTGCAAATACGTAGTCATCTGCATCACTAACAGCAGCACTTCCTAATCAGGCTCTTCACGAGGCTCTCAAGTGTTTTTCCGAAGGTGGTGACTAATCCATCCGCGCCCAGGTCGTGGCCTCTGCTCCCCTCCTGCCTCCTGGAGCTGGCCCCGAGCTTCACCACTCGTTATAAACCAACGTTCAAGAGAAATCGCTCCTCAGCCAACTCTCGTGAACCTCTAGGATGCAAATTATTGACATCTATCAATTGAAAAGCAAAGGTTCATCACTGCAGAATTTGCTGCTTGACGCTCTCCTGATTTTCCAGGGGAACGAGCCGTTTCCCTAACCATTTTCTGAAGCGATGGCACCAGCTCGCTCTCTGCCCATGAGGAGGTACCCGGATGCTCCTGCACTTACTAAAGCCTTCCTAAAACCAAGCAGTCGGTGGCACTTCCTAAATTCTCTGTCCACGTTGATTCAGGCCAGGACTGCCTCCAGCACGAAGAGCGAGACCTTTCAAAGCACCAAATATCACAGACACAAGAACATTAATGCACTGGAGTGGTTTGGATGAGATTACATTTGCATGCATTTAACATGATTTAGTTATGAATACTAAGAAAGCCCTCACTTCTCCCAAATGCTGTGGGCAGCAGCTCTCCAAGAGGGCTAAAAGCCTCGCACCCAGGAGATCTGGTCTTGAACTTGGTACAAGAGTGCACTCCAAACACCCAAAATCCTCTGGTTCTGAACCTGAAACGCAGTAACTTGTTCTTCTCTTTTGCCTAAAGCACTGCTCCTCCTGTTGTATGATGATATATGATATGATATATGATATGTGATTTATCTTTCTTAAGCAGGTGATGACAACCAACCACGTATGAGCCATCTTTTAATGATCCGGACCACGCTACTCAACCCAACAAGGATTAAACCATCGCCATGGATGAGCAACTCCGATTCAACTGGGATTTATGGGCACTGCGTTGTGAATCCAGCCAACACACCTAGAAGACAAAGCACCACAGCAATACCTGGGATTACAGACCCAAAACCTGCTATGGGCGAACACAACCCTCCTGGAGCGGGGTGGGAGGTGACTCCAGAGACCGCACCTGTGGGTTTAGTTTCATTTGTTGGGTTTTTCCCCTTTTCTCTGCACAAGAGGATGGGGGAAGAAGCCAAAGCCTGGGATTCTCCAGGACAGGTGACCCAAGAGAGAAAAGCAAAGCACAAAGCTGGCTCGTGCCTCTCCGAAAGCTGAGTGACACCACGCTACGGGTGGTGATGCTCTCTCCCTTCTCACCTTCCCTTTCCCATCCCTTTGCCACTGCTCTAACAAGCCCCACAAGCCCTGCAGGACGAGGCTCCTGGGAAGCAATCCCTGTGCCTGTAGTAAAGGTAACGCGCTGCAGTTACTCAACGCAGCCGGGTCACGATGCTCCTGAAGCAACCCACGGTGCCAAAACGTTACTTAAAAGCCCCAGGAGGTTTTGCACAGCCGGGCTTGGACAATTTTACCAGGAACTTTATAATTGAACAGAATAACGGCAGAAACCCCGAGGGAGAGAAGAGGGGGGCAGGCCAAAGGCGCCTCGCGGAGCCGCTAAGGGCACGTCCGCAACAGGAACGGCCGCCGCGCGCGCCGACCAAGGAGGAATCCATCGCCACCTGCCCGGCCCCGGCGGGACCGCCCTGATTGCATTTCGCAGGATGCAGCCCTCGCAAATGGCTCTTCATTACTCACCGAAGAGACCTAATGAGCCTCCCTGCCTTGATTAGGGCGAGCGATCGGTGCGTGGAGGCCAGCAAATGGATAATACTATTTCCTGGGGAAAAAAAAAAAGCCCCGCTGGCATGGCAGGACACATTGTCTTGATTAATGCTGCGGAGTAATGAGGTCATTCAGCAACCCCGGCTCCAACTTCCTGGCTCCCACTACCAAAACAAACACCACCGAGTTTGACGTCTGCTGAGAGGCATTGGGAGATGTGTTTTGAAGAAAAAGAGTAAGTCAGATTAGACTTGGAGATACAGGGCTCAGTAACGCTGAGGAGGAAGAGTGAACTTGTACAAAATGATCTCCTCATGCTGCGAACACAACACCCAGGGTACAACCAGCTGTTGGTGTGAGTAATGTTAGCAGCCACTGGAGGAAACTCTAAGAAATGCAAACAGTGCTGTGCTACAGCAGGAAAATACACCAAGAGCAAACCTAAACCCTCTTTTTCCTGTGTTTTCTATGTGGAAATAAGGTACAGGTTACAACCACCATATAATTTCACAGAATCCCAGCATGTGAGGAGT